AAGCTTAAATAAAACCAAAATTGGTGAAAGAAATGAAATACATAAATTTTAGGAATTAAATTAAAAATAATAACTTACACAAAAGCCTTAGCACTTCACTCCAAAAAATGAGCAGAGCCTTCCTACACTCAAAACCCTAAAGCGTACAATGATTCGAATCCAAGTCATTGAAATTAGATAAGGCTAGCCTTCTAATTATAGAAGGAAAAAAATGCTTTCGTGGGGCTTGCTTGAATAGAATATACATGTAAATATAAAAATTTTAAAGCACATAAATATAAATTACACCACCGAATCCGCAATCCCATACATAAGCGGATATAAAACATGTTTTGAAGATCACTCTGAGATAAGGCTAGCCTTCTACTTATAAAACGTGCTTTAAATTGCTAGTGCAAATAATTAAAATTAAGTTACTTAAGGCCTACATAAATTCAATAGTAGTATTTCAATTCAAACATAATGATTTCAAATATGTGCAAGTATGTCTTGCAGGTGCACAACATGAGTACACGTACATTACAGTCTAATCACTCGCATGCGATGATAATTCTAAATTCTTATACTTAACCGTAAAAAAATATCACGCGGATCAAAAAATAAAATTAATGTGTAATCATATCCGCTCCAATAAGCATGCAAATGTTTAAATTTTACAAAATCTCTTTTTAAAAAATGAATAAATTTTCATGCATATTACACACTTTGGAATGAGTTGCTCTGTCTACAGGGCAAAATCGTAAGCCCCACCAGTCAGTCCGATCGTCCAACCTACACACTTTGGAATGAGTTGCTCTGTCTACAGGGCGTAAGCCCCACCAGTCAGTCCGATCGTCCACCATACATGGACTAGAGTTGACAAAATTGAGTCTCTACTGAGTCAGTTTAAAGTCTAATCCCCGAATTATGACTAGAGTTCACAAAATTGAGCTCTTGGTACGTCAATCTGTTTCTCCTCAAGAGGATTATAATCGGCATAATGAGTAATTTTAATAATTAAGTAATTACATAACCCTAATGATGATTGTATTGAATGGAAATCTCAATTGGAGGGGTCTCATTTCAAAATTAAGCTAAAAAACATCTAAATAAACTCAATTGATTTAGGATATGAATTTAATCCTTGGTATGCATGACAAGGTTGAAAATGTTCAAAATTATATGAATCTCCGATGATAGCCGTGTTAAATGCAAATTTCAAACCAAGGGACTTTATTTTCAATATATTTTCAAATTTAATAATTTCAAAAAAAAATTCTAAAAAATATCTAAATGAAAAATCTATCACTCAAAAATTAAAAGTAAAATTCATGCATCGTTCGTAATAGTTTCTTGAGGGTGGCAGTGTTATACCAAGTATATCATATTTACACTCAAAATAACTGTCCTAGAAAGAACGTAGCCCAAGTCATCTGTCCATGTGATTTGATCAATAGGCTCCACAAAAAAAACCAGTGTTACGACAAGAATCCTTCGACCTAATGTTTTATCATCAAATGACACAATTATATTACAGTTACGACAGTAGTTCGTATGTTCCCTAATGATATCCTGTCCTTTTCAATTGTGAATCATACGATATACCCGATAGTGCATAAAGTTATTTGTAAGCTAAGATCGACTTAGAATATTTCCCTTACACAAACATCTACCCCGCATCTATAAGGTTTCCTTAGATGAATCAACAAATTTCTTCTGTTAGGTTGAGTTGGCTATCTCATCTAGGTAGATCAACGACCATGATAATCTGGGATGATAAAACAATGAGATCTTGATCGGGTTTGTCCTCATTTTCCCCATCATCCGCTCTAAATTTGTTGTGATAATTTCATAATTTCAAAATTGAAATTTGTTGCTATTATATGCTAAGTTTGAAAATTTAACGCCTAATGACTAACCTTAACTAAAAGTGTTCTCCCATTATAGAGAGTAATAAACTTTGAAACCTGGATATTTAAGTTCTCATAAAATGAAGGTGAAATCTTCGGGTAATGTATTAACTACTATTTCATATGCCTTCCGAAAATTTCGCCCATAACCTCATGGTAAACTCTCTTACCTTATTCTCATTTCTATCATTTTCGAGGGAAATCGGGGCATCACACTTTCGGAGTCCAAAACCACGCAATTCCTATTTATTTACATATCTAACACCTAACCTTTACCTATTATATTTATACCACCCATCCTTCATATAAAATCAAAAATACCACCATTTTAACTTTTAAATAACCGAAAACACATTTTCATGCATGGGCAAAGTGGCAAGTATGTAAAAGTTAAAATTTAGGTGTTAGATATGTAAGTACATAGGAATTGAGTGTTACATATGTAAATCATTCTAAGTACATAGGAATTGAGTGTTACATATGTAAATCTTTCTTTTTTTTTTTGTGTAAAGTCAAGATTTACTGTTGCTCTATGACATTTTATTCCCAATTTCCTACTATAGTTGGGATTCAGCTGTCTCGCAATGTAGCACAATCTTTTATTCCCTTATTGTGACGTGATTTCGAAAAGTAGCAGAGTTTAGAAAATTACAGATTGCAGGAAATATCAGATTTGGAAGCTTGTTATTTAAGCAGATCCTAGGATTTTGGTGAAACTCCTAACTTTGAGTTCCTTTTTCATTTTGAAACTACTAATTTTGAGTTCTTTTTATTAAAAATAAGGCCCTCAAAGCATGTTAAGAAAAACATCAAGCTGCTTAACTAAATTCAATCTCTATTGAAGTTGTATGTTGCAATTTGTGAATTCTCTGAAGTGAGGTGAAAGTGTTCTTCTATTGTGAAACTTCTATACTTCTTTTTCATATATGTAAATGTAATTTCTTTTGTCTGAGCGCTTGAAATTTGATAAAGTTTGCCACAAGCTAATTTTTTTTTATAGCGTAAATACTATTTGATGAGAGGATTTATTTTGAATTCAACTTATTATGAACTTTAGCTTTGGACGATCTTTAAATCCTCGTTTGGAGGAAGTTAAATGTTGTTTTTTAAATTTTTTTCCTAACAAAGAGTTGGTGTACTATAACTTCTGATTTTTTGAAACTTTTTCCTAACCAAGAGTTGGTGGGAAATAAATTCTGATTTTTTTGCATGTGTTTATGCATCATATGAAACATTTACAATAGAAAAATCCTACAAAACATAAAGACATTTTACATCAACAAATTTGGCAAGATACTTATTGTGATATGATTATTAAGAGGGAAACTTACATACTTAGCACACAATTCTTATCTATTTACATATCTCACACCTAAACATTTATATTTACATAGCATTTTGGTGCTTTAAACCTATGCATGAAAAGATGTATTTCACTTTTAAAAAGTGTTAACAGTGCTATTTTTTATGTAATATTAAAGATTTGATTTCTGTGTATAATTATGAAAGTTTAGGTGTGACATATAAATACATAAGAATTCCTTGCTATGTATGTAAATTCCCCGTAGAAAATTTTATTACTACACCAAATGGGTTTGAACAGTTATAAATGATTAAGTGATTAACAAACAAGTACTTACGTCGATTTGAAGGGTGCAGTGGTAGCTCCAACTGGTGTACCAAATGCAACTTCCTGAAACGGACCAGCCATTTTTCCTCTAGGAAACCATCCAAGATCTCCGCCTTTCTTTCCCGAGGGGCATTCCGAATACTCTGCCGCAACCTATGATACATGAAAGCAAACACACGTAACGAAGAATAAATATGCATATGCGATAAATGAATTTGCACGTTAAAGAAAAGTATAAAATATATAAGGGGCGTTCACATACAAACCGCACATTTTTTATGTATTTACATATATAACACCTAAATTTTAATATTTACATTCATAGCCACTCAAGTCTTTAGTAAGTGCTAGGGCGTCCCTTGGAAGCGATGCGCTGTATAGCCTGAATACAGTGAAAAGTGTGCAAGGGCCGCTATACTGGCGTCCGAGTGTTGTATCAAATAAGCAAGAGTTCCCACATTATAGACGAATGTGGGTAAAAAAATTAGTCCATGAAACTAATGAAACTAATGAAATTAAGCTTTAAGGAAAACCAAGGGTGAAAAGTCTATAGGACCTGATGAAATCCCAATTGAAGTGTGGAAATAATTAGGAGATTTGAGAGTTTCTTAGCTTACTTTTACCATCGCATTAGTAAAAAAGAAGTTGATGAGGCTTTAAGGAAAACCAAGGGTGAAAAGTCTATAGGACCTGATGAAATCCCAATTGAAGTGTGGAAATAATTAGGAGATTTGAGAGTTTCTTAGCTTACTTTTACCATCGCATTAGTAAAAAAGAAGTTGATGAGGCTTTAAGGAAAACCAAGGGTGAAAAGTCTATAGGACCTGATGAAATCCCAATTGAAGTGTGGAAATAATTAGGAGATTTGAGAGTTTCTTAGCTTACTTTTACCATCGCATTAGTAAAAAAGAAGTTGATGAGGCTTTAAGGAAAACCAAGGGTGAAAAGTCTATAGGACCTGATGAAATCCCAATTGAAGTGTGGAAATAATTAGGAGATTTGAGAGTTTCTTAGCTTACTTTTACCATCGCATTAGTAAAAAAGAAGTTGATGAGGCTTTAAGGAAAACCAAGGGTGAAAAGTCTATAGGACCTGATGAAATCCCAATTGAAGTGTGGAAATAATTAGGAGATTTGAGAGTTTCTTAGCTTACTTTTACCATCGCATTAGTAAAAAAGAAGTTGATGAGGCTTTAAGGAAAACCAAGGGTGAAAAGTCTATAGGACCTGATGAAATCCCAATTGAAGTGTGGAAATAATTAGGAGATTTGAGAGTTTCTTAGCTTACTTTTACCATCGCATTAGTAAAAAAGAAGTTGATGAGGCTTTAAGGAAAACCAAGGGTGAAAAGTCTATAGGACCTGATGAAATCCCAATTGAAGTGTGGAAATAATTAGGAGATTTGAGAGTTTCTTAGCTTACTTTTACCATCGCATTAGTAAAAAAGAAGTTGATGAGGCTTTAAGGAAAACCAAGGGTGAAAAGTCTATAGGACCTGATGAAATCCCAATTGAAGTGTGGAAATAATTAGGAGATTTGAGAGTTTCTTAGCTTACTTTTACCATCGCATTAGTAAAAAAGAAGTTGATGAGGCTTTAAGGAAAACCAAGGGTGAAAAGTCTATAGGACCTGATGAAATCCCAATTGAAGTGTGGAAATAATTAGGAGATTTGAGAGTTTCTTAGCTTACTTTTACCATCGCATTAGTAAAAAAGAAGTTGATGAGGCTTTAAGGAAAACCAAGGGTGAAAAGTCTATAGGACCTGATGAAATCCCAATTGAAGTGTGGAAATAATTAGGAGATTTGAGAGTTTCTTAGCTTACTTTTACCATCGCATTAGTAAAAAAGAAGTTGATGAGGCTTTAAGGAAAACCAAGGGTGAAAAGTCTATAGGACCTGATGAAATCCCAATTGAAGTGTGGAAATAATTAGGAGATTTGAGAGTTTCTTAGCTTACTTTTACCATCGCATTAGTAAAAAAGAAGTTGATGAGGCTTTAAGGAAAACCAAGGGTGAAAAGTCTATAGGACCTGATGAAATCCCAATTGAAGTGTGGAAATAATTAGGAGATTTGAGAGTTTCTTAGCTTACTTTTACCATCGCATTAGTAAAAAAGAAGTTGATGAGGCTTTAAGGAAAACCAAGGGTGAAAAGTCTATAGGACCTGATGAAATCCCAATTGAAGTGTGGAAATAATTAGGAGATTTGAGAGTTTCTTAGCTTACTTTTACCATCGCATTAGTAAAAAAGAAGTTGATGAGGCTTTAAGGAAAACCAAGGGTGAAAAGTCTATAGGACCTGATGAAATCCCAATTGAAGTGTGGAAATAATTAGGAGATTTGAGAGTTTCTTGGCTTACTAAACTCTTTAATATTATTTAAAAAACTAAAAAGATGTATGAAGAGTGGAGGAAGGGTATTTTGGTCCCCATTTTTAAGAATAAAGGAGATGCACAAAAGTGTGCAAACTATAGAGGAATTAAGTTGATGTGTCATACTTTAAAGTTATGGGAGAGAGTAACTGAACATAGTTAAGACGCATAACAAAGATTTCCGATAATCAATTTGGATATATGTCGGGCATGGGGCAGGTCTACTATGGAAGCTATACATTTATTGAGAGGTTTGATGAAGAAGTTCAAAGATAATAAGGAGAATTTACATTTAAATTTTATCGATTTAAAATTTTGTATTACATCAGGGATCGGCTTTAAGCCCGTATCTTTTTTACTTTAGTTATGGATGATCTTACTGGACATCTACAGGAGGGTGTACCTTGGTGTATGTTTTTGCTGATGATATCCTTCTCATGGATAAAACGAGAGAAAAAGCCCAGGAAAAACTTGAATTATGAAAGTCTACATTGGAGTCTAAAAGCCTTCATTTAAGTAGAACTAAAACTGAATACATGGAATGTAACTTTAGAAGTAGTAGCTCTAGTGACAAAAGTATGATAATACATGGAATGTAACTTTAGTAGTAGTAGCTCTACTGACAAAAGTATAATTTTGGGTGATCAAATTATTAAAAGATGTGATCGATTTAGATATCTCGGGTTTGTTGTTCAAAGCGATGGTGATATAGATGGGGATGTTAATAGTAAAACTCAAGTTAGTTGGTTGAAGTGGAGGAATGTCTCGGGCCTTTTGTGCGATAAAAAAGTACCACTAAAACTGAAAGGAAAATTTTATAAGACGGTGGTGAGACCTGCAATGCTCTATGGCGCTGAATGTTGGCCTTTAAAAGAGAAGCATAATACTAAGTTAAGTGTTGCCGAGATGAGAATGATTAGGTGGATGAGTGGCTTTACATTTAGAGACAAAATGCGGAATGAATATATCCGTGATAGGGTTGGTGTAGCTCCTGTGACGGACAAAATTAGAGAAAGTCGTCTTAGATGGTTTGGTCACATTAAACGTCGACCATCTGATGATCCGATTAGGAGAGTAAATGTTTTAGATTCAACTTGTGTTAAGAAAGGCAGAGGTAGACCTAGAAAGACTTGAGCTTATTGTATAAAAATGATCTTAATTTAGTAGAACTAAATGAAAATATGACACTAAATAGGAAGCAATGTAAAAAAAGGATTCATGTAGCCGACCCCAGGTAATGGGATTAAGGTTTTCTTGTTGTTGTTGTATAGCACTTAAGTCTTTAGCATCACATCCAAAATATCACTTTTAGTAGATTTTAAAAAGTCAAATGTGCCTTTTTTATGCATTGTTTCTTTTTCCTTCCAGGGTCTGTCTTCCAAGCCAACCCTCGTTAATTTCATAAATTATGCCAGCCATATGTCTAGATAGGCATACAACACCCAACAAACATGTAAGGGTCACGACATATATAACCAACTAACCGTTTTTTATGATTTTATGCATAAATTTATAGAACTATGATATTATAAATGTAAGATACAATATATCTATGTGGTTTACAGAGTGACCTAAGAGCAGTTTTCATAAAATATTGCCGATTTTTTGTGCACTGGTCTCTTTTCAAGTCAGTGTGCTACACATACATCTATTAAAAAGAATGGGCTTTACATACATAGCAACCAAAACTTTCATATTTACCCATCTCACACCAAAAGTTTCATAATTACAAATATCATATGAAAAGTAGCACCCATTATCACCTTTTAATAGCCAAAATCATCTTTTCATCTATAAGTAAAGTGATGTGTGTAAAAATGAAACTTTGGATCTGGGATAGGTAAACCCATAAGAATTGGGTGCTATGTATGTAATTTTCCCTCAAAAGTATTACTAATTGAAGATACTTTGCTTGCATGTGTAAAATTTACCCAATAGATTTTCTCACTTCAGCCTATGTTCAATTACCCTCTCCCATAATTTTAAATTTTCGTGTAAGAAGTTCAACGAACCAAAGAATAAGAGAATAAAAAAGATTCATCTCGAATTCTTGGGACTATAATAAAGAAAGTAATAAAACATGGTAAGACAAGATTCACAAGACCAATAGATCATTAATATCCCTCGTTATCTATTACTATTTATAGACTAAAATATTAGCTCAAGGAATTACAAATATTTGCAAGACTTTCCCTCAAATATGACATCACACACCTTAAATTTATTTATGTCAAACAATTCAATAAAAATGGAATTTTAAGAAAAATGCAAATGGACTTAATTCCATCACAAGTATAAGCAAAGATGCAATTCTGACAGGAAAAACTTTTGAATGAAAGGAAATAATTTTGAATGACAACAGGTTTGCCCTTCACCTTTGCAAACTCTGCCGGAGGGACTTTGTCACCATTGCTCAACCAACCTTCTTGCAGTTTCTTGTAAGCTTCATTAATCTTCCCTTGTTTCTCGCATAAAATATGCCTTGCTGAAACAAAATCATAGTCAAAATCTAATGCAAGTTGAAAAGCATACTCAAATGATGACATGTGGTGAAGAGTCACCACTCTTTAGATACATTGTCTCAACTTAAATCTAAACATGGAGATTTTAATTTTAGATATCTAACAATCTCATAATGTAGAAATAATTCTCCAAATCTCTTCGTGTATTCCAAAATAAGTTTGGTTCCTTAATTTAATGATCGAAATTGATCAAGAAAATGATCTCAATATGATAAAAGCAAATATTTCTCTTTCAAAACTTCTTTCAATTCAATCTGTGCAAATAAGCTCCCTTCTAACTTTTGTCCATTATCTTTTCATTCACATCCAAAAGATTTTAGCTTGATCAGATAATTTTATTTTTGCAAATCTTATTTTTCACTCATCAAATATGATCTGTTATTCAAAATAATTATCATAAAGCCAATCAGTAATAATTTTAGGATCAAATTTATTATCATAGGTAGGCACTAACCATTTTCGGTTATGTCAGTGACTATGTTTAAATTACAATATCTATAATTTTCGTAATCATTGTTCAATACTCCAAATTGTATATGGAGATAATTTCTATGCTATATATCAAAATCAACATTCAGATAAAATGGTTCAGGCACACATGCAAGAACCTGAATGGCTCCTAAATTATCAAATTTTGTTTAAACCAAATTAATGTCATTACAAATTTGATTTTTCTTATCCAATATTCCAATCAATTGATTTTAAAAAGCTAATAAGACTCCCTCACTTCCACGATCAATTATGTTGCCCCTAGAATTAAACTTACTTCCAAGTGATATTTTGATAATTCAATAGTTCAATCAATTGACTTTTACAAAGTAAATAAACATTTATCACTTTCACGATTAGTTAAGTAGCCCATATAATTAGCCAAATTTCTAAGTGGCATTTTGATGCAATCTAAAACTTATATATTGATGTTGGATGGCCCATGGTTAGAGGTTCTTAATGCAACTACTGTGATATATTGTATGAATACATGCAAAAAGTAATAATAAAAAAAGATTCATACATCACAAGTCATCAATTAATTTAACAAAATATATATTTTTTTACATAGCAAAAAAGACTATAATAAAAAAAATAACTGATAACAAATGTTTGAAATTAACTGAGAAATTTAATGGGAGATAAAAACACTTAAAATAAATGAGCAACGTGAATTTAATTTTTACATATTAAACCTCTAATTTGTCAAATTTTTATCAAAATTAAAAGCAATAAGTTCATATCAAATTATGCAGATGAAATAAAACAAGATACAAAACTAACAAAATAAATACAACAAGCCTCGTGTAATCACATTTGTACACCACTTAAAAAAACCATACATCCAACTTGTAGTCAACACTGAAACTAGAAAGAGAATTTTTACTCAAAAGAAAAGCTTTAAATTACAAGCATCAAACAACTATATATAGATGCCGCCTCACCTAAAATAATATATATAGTTTGCATAGAATCTACACAATTTAAATTTAAATTATATCCAGCCTTAATCGAAATTTTTCTTTAATTCCATTCACAATTAAAACAAATAGATCGAAGCCATAACTCCATTTCAAAGTTATAAACACCTAAAAACTCACAAATTCCATACCACCCATATAACAACCACCAACACATTTGAAAGGCAAGGCACATGATCAACAAACAAAAATCATACCATCAAGTCCGCTTATTATTATTATTTTGTTCATCTGCTTTCCTTTAAGAATTTAAGTGCTTAGCTCCAAAATTAATAGTTGTCGTGCTCTATGAAACAAAACAATCAAAATTCCATCACGCACATACAATTCCAAAAGCAAATCGCATCATAGAGTAGCATACAGAAGCCACTCATGTTGAGAACAAAAAAGTTTTTCTAGTAGTGATTGCTCAGTATCAAAGAAAAGAAATAGATAAGATAAATTATTTGTAATCACCTATTATGAGTCCCCTTAAATAGAACGAAGCTGAACTCTAAAATATCATGTTGTCATTCGGTGTAATGGTTGAAATTACGTCAGAAACCCCAAAGTTAAGTGTGCTCATATGAAAGCACCCTTGGGATGGATGAGGATGATCGTTTGGGAAGTTACACAAATGGAATAGAATCGTGAACAGAGGCGGGACTAGGTTAAGCCTAGAAGTTGAATTGTACTAGAAATGATATAAAGTTTAATATTTGTTTCTAAATAAGTTTAAGAAAACTGTAATTTTTTGCACTTAATAGGTTTTTTAACCAATACCCAAAAAATTTTTAACATTGAGTAATTTTGGCCACCTTAAGATTTAAACTAATTCCACCTCTGATCGTGAGGCCATTAAGTCAAAACGGACAATATCTCGATGGGTGAGAGTTCAAGTTATTACATTGTTAAACTAGAGTTACAATATGAAGCTTAATAATAGGAAATTAAAAAGAGAAATTATTTTCTCACGCAACATGAAAAGCATGTAAATAGCTAAAAAAATAAAAAATAAAAAATAAAAAACCAACAGAAATTATTTTCTCACGCAACATGAAAAGCATGTATATAGCTAAAAAAATAAAAAATAAAAAATAAAAAACCAACAACAACTTGGTTGCACAAAATCCATGGTGGAAAACAATGCAATGATTGAAAGGTACACGCGCATAGTGAAAAAAGGTAAGTATTACTCTTGAATTCGTAAGCATAAACTTAAGTAGCACGACCAAAAAATGGAAGATTACAAAAAAATAACAAATAAAAAAAATAAAATGGCAGAATGCTCAATATTTTCCCAATATTCATGAGATTAGGTCAGCAATTGCCATTCATAAGCAGCTTCTAATTCTTTTCTTACTAAATTGGCATCCTAACCATGATTTGCAGTTGCAATCCACCTCGGCTTAGTGATTGAGAGCTTCGTCCTTCAGCCAAGAAGTCCTGGGTTCAAGGCCTTGCATATTGCGTGTGTTTGGTAGTGTGTGTGTGTGTGTGGGGTTCAAGGCCTTGCATATTAATTCTTTTCTTACTAAATTAATTGGCATCCTAACCATTAATTTGCAGTTTACACCGCCCTCTTTAATGAAAAAACACAGCACATGCTTTCCAGTTTACATACCTACCACCTGATTCCTATATATTTGCATATCTAACACATAATCTTTACTTTTAACATTTATACCACGCATATCTTTCATATCACATAAAAAACGCCAATATTATGACTTCCAATAAGTGAAACACACCTTTTTTTTCATGGTAAAATGGCGTATATGTAAAAATTGAAGCTTGGGTCTTGGATATGTAAATTCAAGGAACTAATTGGTATGTATGTAAACCTTCCTACATATACATGAAAAATGCACAACCTTAAAGGGAAAGAACCTCAAATAAATACAGTAAAATTGAAAAAAGCAAAATATATTTTTCGAAGGCCGCAAATAACCTTTGACAAAGGTACAGGTGCCAAGATCATCTTCCGACTTGCCAGCCTTCCCTTTACCCTTGGAAGAATTCTCCTCTCCACTTGAAGCTTGCTTCCCCTTTCCCTTTTTTGCCGGTTCCTTGGGCTTTGAATCTTTACCCATGGCGTATACACTCAAGATAGATTCCTAGACTGCAAGATAAGCAAAAACTGTATTGAAATCTACCTTCGAGAGATGCAGGAGCATGAATTAGGGTTTTAAGCAGAGATCCCTAGAAAGATAATTACGAACGTAAAATCAAAGCAAATGAAATAGATGTTTGATAATTGATCTGAAGTGAACAAATTAGAGGTCCGGTAATGCGATGAGACATAAGATAGCGCAAACCTAGATTAAAATTCAAAATAACAAGATTAAAAGTATGACTCAAGAAATTAATGTGAATAATTGGAAGAAAACAGGCGACGAATTCTGAAAATCCATACCCTAAAATTGGTCGAAGTCGCCTTCGTCAAATTTCGTCCTTAAAATCCACAGCAGTTGCAGTCAACTTTCAGAAAAATTATTACTTCCGAGTCCAATTTGTCACGTGAAAGATAGAAAAATAAAAAATTTAGTTTTAGCATAAGAAAATATTTTCTTTATTTCATATTATTCAAGTATTATTATGATTATATTCATGTATTATTATGTTCTAAGAATACTCGCCAGTGTTATTTCACATGTATTTTTTTTTCCTGTCAGCTTCATATCTATGTGCGGAATCCGGACGTAATAAGTTTTCCAACTTTGAAAGGTTAGGATTTAATCATAGATTTCTTCTAAATCTAGCCAAACAACAAAAAAAAGTGAGAATTAAATATATTGCAGTAAAAAAAAAAAGATATTTTGGCATGGAATAAGACTTAAATATTTCTAAGGAATAAATAGCATGCATATCTTCAATTTTTGTTATTAACAGTCATATAATGTCAAAATTTTCTATTAGAAACTGTTCTATTCTCACTCCTTTTACATGAAATTTTATTTTTATATAAATTTATAAACACATCTATTGATATTAAATAATTAAAAATTAAAATTTTAAATTACATATTCCTTGACCATTTTCGAACATGTATTCAATATTTTGATTTTTTTTTCAATTTTACTTTTTGTGCTTCAATTTCTTATCCTTGTGTTGCATAAAAATTAAAAAAAAATTAAAAAAAAAAAAACTCTTCGAATGGTGACTTTATATTTTCGAACATGTATTCAATATTTTGATTTTTTTTCAATTTTACTTTTTTTGCTTCAATTTCTTATCCTTGTGTTGCATTAAAAAAAAAAAAAAAAAAAAAAAAAAAAAAAAAGAAGCCTCTTCGAATGGTGACTTTACTTGGAAAAGGTGTGCATAAATTATATTGTAAAGATATGTATCAATAGATATATTGTATATGTATCTATTATTGGTGATGTAATAATGAAAAATATGATAGTGAATTTCATTTTTTGGGTAATCTTATAATTGTAAAAATCACTAATTTGGAGTATGATAAGAATGATAATAATGCTAGATGTATGTTTAGTTAATCATGAGATTCTTATTTCGTGAGGAAATTAAGATCTGATTAATGATTTCCTGCATATGTAAGTTCTTGTGATTAATTATTCCTTCTAGAGATGATAGAGAATTTTCAATTAAGCTGAATCCTTAAATGTTGTGTTTGGCATCGCATAATAGCAACTTCAATTTAAAGACGAAAAACTATACTATTTTTAGGCTAGAGTGGATGTGGGAGAATGAAAATTTTAATTGAGATTCTATGGCTCAATTAATCTTGTTTATCATAGACCCCGATTAATCTAGCAAGACGAGGAAATTGATCAAATTTGACCAAATGATCCTCGTTAATAGTTATGGCTTATGTCATCCAAGAGGATAATATAAACTTGGATGGTATTTATTTAACGAGATAATTCAGGTCAATATTAGCTAATAGAGTGATATCATGTGTATCAAAATGATTAATGAATTTGACTATTTATGCCTTAAATAAACTTAAGAGGTGATTATTCACCTTAATCTCATAAACTCCTTTTCTTTCTCTAGCACATATGATTGTAGCAATGTCTTCCTCCACCAATGCCTTACAAACCTTAACAAAGTAGAAGTCATTGCAGCAAGCTTTATGCAATTTTTAATTTTTGCATATGATGTCAACCCGGTCAATGCCTTTTCACAAGCTCCAAGCATAGCTCCATCACATCTTTATTGTAAAGGGTTTCAAGAATTTGGGTGGGCGAATAGCCTGTGAATTAGGAAAGAAAATAAAAGGAGAAATTAGTTCATATATACAGATACACCACCATTAAGGCACACCATGGACAAGAAGTATGAGAGCATGACATAAAAGACATGTAATCAAGAATTTTAATATTTATTATCTTTCTTTTTTTTTTAAGTGGATTGACATCTTTATTTGTAGGATATAAATTCTCTAGTGATGATGACATTGTTGCATTGGCTATCTTGTAGGTGAGTAGCTTTAGTAAACTTTATAAGTTACAAAATGCAATGAAAAATGTTGGTGCGTTTGATTTTGTTGATGACTTGGGAGAGAAGTGCAAATAAATATTCTGTGAATTTAGAGCTTAGAAGAATGATTGAGCATTACATGATAAATAAAAAACTAGAATAAAAAACAGACATAAATTTGAAAAACTTATATATCATTGATCAATTGAGGCAGTACAAAACCTTGGTTAATATTCACCATTAATATCATAAAGGTTCTACATGAAGACATGTTCAAACACAATCATTAGGTAATATAATAAAAAATTTGACTGGAAATGAGAGTTTGTTAAGTGGGGAATTCATTTTCATTGATGATATTGAATAAAGTTCTATCTTAATGTATTAAATATAGTGACTACCATTTTAAGATTTACTACACTTAACTTTTAAATATGGTGGTTATATAACTCATTTCATATTTAATTTCTAGCATGATGGCTAACTTAAAGATTAATTTATTTACACTCAATTTTTCAAGATGATGAATATCAAAATAAGCTTTATTAAATTTAAACTTGCTAACTACTATGTTTAAACATTTTATAAAGACACGGTTGCATTGTGTTGAAGTATCTCATGGTAAGAAGCAATAAATAAAAATATGAAGAGAAAAGAAAATCGAGAGGTGTTTTAAAGAAGAAATGAAGAAAATTTTTCGGTATTTACAAATAGAGTTCTTTGACTTTTTCAAGAAGGAACAAATGTTATTGTTTTTTAATTCTAGTAAGAGAAGAAACTCTTGTTTATAACAAAGAATGGTTCTTATTTAAACTCATATGATTAAGTCATAAAGAGAGTATCTGATCATTAACATCATTTCATTTTTTTTATTTTTAGCCCTCATTTTTTGTTTCGGTAGTTTCAATTGTATCATCGACATAAAATTTTATCCCTTTCATATATTTAATTTTATTTGAAGTTTAATTATTCATTTATCTTGTTTAAGCTAATCATACCATTATATGTCTTTGTAGTCATTGACATAAGTTATTTCATACTAAAACATATTTGTTGCTCTCTTTTGTGCTTTTAATATTTTTTGCTATTATGTTGCTAGATTGAGGAAACTATTTTTTTTAATACTTTGCTTAAGTTTCATACTAAAACATATTTGTTGCTCTCTTTTGTGTTTTTAATCTTTTTTGCTATTATGTTGCTAGATCGAGGAAACTATTTTTTTTAATACTTTGCTTAAGTTAAGTATTCATTGACTAAGATTATTTTTATAGGAAGCCTTTTAATAAAAATAGTTTTAAATTTCCCAACCCTGATCTCCCAAGCACCCGAAAGACCCATAAACTCTTAATGTCTTTAAGACTTCTCTACATATAGAATTATTCTGCTGGGATAAAATCTTAATAAAATCATACCTAATAAGCCTAAAATATTCTTAGATATACACTTAAGAAGAGCTGAAAAAGTTATAGAATAATGAACTTAAGCATGCTCAAATATTTAAATCTTCTCAAGGATAAACAACATGTAGTGAATATATGGTTTATACTCTAAAGTATCAAAGAAATTATATAAACAACCTTTTTATTGCATTACAAAATAGAATACAACCATCAACTCATCATTCAATATTTCTTCATAAAGCCAATTTTATTTAACTTTTCAATATTTTATCTTCCTTCAAAACTTTCTCCCTATGGGCTCTTTGGTTTGCTTCAAAAGAAATGCATTGTAAAATAAATGAAATGAAAAATAAATTTAGTGTATAAAGATTAAATGTTATTGTTTGGATAAATACATTACAAATGCATGAATTTGCAATTTTTGTTTGGGAGAGTACATTGAATAATAAATACAATAAAACTCTTGAGCGATGGCATATGGCAATGATAACGGGTGGGCAGGCCTACAACGGTGGTGCCAACCAATGGTAATGACCAGCGTGGGTCGGTGGAGGCTAACATGGGCCAGTGGTCGACTAGTGGTGATCATTGTGATCATCACATGGTAGTGGTTGATGGTTAGGGTGTTGGTTAGGGAATCAATGTAGTCATAGTCACTGTGGCTATAATGACTATAGTGTCTGACACGACACTGCCATCGATTTGTAGTTTGTAGTGTATTTGCAAATCATATAAATCTAACAAATCTAAAATATACTAAAAATTAACAAAAATTCCTTTTGAAATTCATGATAATTTTATCTTGTATTTCTTTTTCCTTAAACTAAATGCCCAAAGTTTTAGTGCCCTATACTTGGAATGCAGTGCCACTCTTTTGAAGCAAATGAAATAGCCCCTTTGATAAGTAATGCACAAATTCTAAGATCTGTTTAATAAATAATTTCAAATAAAGAAAGAAAAAAGCCATAATTAATAAATGACAGTGCTCTAAAAAAATATTAAACATCGAAGGTCTAAAATTGCTAAAAATGAAAAAAATTAGTTGGTTTTAATTAGGTATACAGTATTAGATGTCATATAAATGGGGTAAATGAAATGTATAGAACAAAACTTGTTAAGAAAACATACACATAAAAATATGAAATTGATTATGGTGAAACATTTATGTTAGTTGCAAAACTAGACACAATTTGTATGCTTCAATCTCTGACAACCAACTACAATTGGTCCTTATAATATTTATGTGTAAAAAATGTATTTCTATATGAAAAGTTAGAAGAAGCATTCTATGTTGAGCCACACCTAATAAATACTTTAGTACTAGTCATGCTTGTCAATTTAAGAAATTAAAGCTCTACACAAGCTCAAATAATCACTAAAAACATGGCTTAGAAAGTTCACCGAAGTAATGAGAATGATGAAATTCAAAAAAAGACCTTGAAGGTCACACTATACACATAAGGAAACCAAAAGATTTTAAAGATGGCAAAAATATGGTTCTTATTGTATGTATGAAAGATATCATTGTAATAAGAAATTATATGGAAGAAATAATAAAGGAAAGTTATCAATTATTGAAAGAATTTCAAGCATAACTTTTGAAAAGAATCAAACAATCATTTGAGATTGAAGTTGCACTCTCAAAAGTTGGGATATTTATCACATAATAAAAGATGATTTAGTAAAATTGGGTTTTCAGACGGAATTGGATTTACTAAATCTTGAATTTTGAATTGCCTTTTTTGTGTGTGACAATATTTAAACTAAATCCTACTTAAATCGTATCATAGGGACCGCATGGAAGACAAAAAAGACAAATGGGGGTGTGGTTGTTGTTGACCCAAGGAGGAGGAGAAGGGAGCCTATGAGAGTAGAGTCAACAATTGTCGATCAAGAATGAAGAAAAAGGCTGGCAGCTATGGTATCAATAGAAGGGGATTCAATTACAAAGGTTCTACAATTGTAAATGAAGGAATGTAAGGAGGCGTGATGCCCTAACCCTTACTTGATATTCCTATATTATGAGGTGGTGACGACGAACATAGAAAGTTATAAGCGATAATGACAGACTAATGAGCCGCGTGATTTATGATTTGAGTGGAGGAAAGTTTGTGGCTTCAAAGAATCAATCCAATCAATTAAATGATGACTTGATTCAATTTTATCGCTAATGATACTATGAAGTTACAGTGTTATAATAAATTATTTATTAATGTTACATATAATCTAGTCCAATTGATCTGTGCTTCATAAATAAATAAAAAAATAAAAAAAAAAACAAAGTGAACTAACATACATCCCATACATCCAAATACACTGGCAAAATAAATTATAGTCAAATGACTACCAAGCTCTACACTTTACAATATCCCTTTCGTGTTAGGCATGAAGAATATCTACTATACACTTTTAGGAATGTTGGCAATTCTAGTCCACCTTAACCACTCTTGGAATGCAATGTTGGCGATTCATCATTGTGGACAAGATGACAATCACCGGGCGTTTACGAGGGGTGAAAATGTGTCTTAGATTTTAAAATGAATAAATATTTATCTTAAGTTTTAAAATGAATAATTATTTACAAGTTGTTTACAAATAAAAAAAAAATTATTAATTCTTGTATGATTCATCATACATTTTTTTTAATGTAATTAATACATCTCATTTTCATAGATAAAAATTACCAAGAATAACCTACAAATACATTGTATAAATAGAGGCTCATGATCCTCAATAAAATACATGCAAAATTCATATTATTTCTTCTCTCTTCACAAATGTTACAAAACCAACTCTTATGACCATATAGCACATAAAGCTAAAACTCAACCACATAGTTGGCGGACCTAATTGTTAAAACTCCAAGATAGTTGAAAACTCATTTCTAACTTAGGACAATTGCATCGATATTCATAAATCCAACACACTCAAATATCAAAATTCATGATAAAACCCCAACTCATATTTTTCATTCCCTTCAAATTCTCCAGTTCGGTACTGGCATACGTGAATGCATCAGTTCAGTGGTTCAAAAACATTAGCTCGTTGCTAGTTTTATAAAAAACAATCTTTCGAGTGCTTTGCCTGTAATTTTCCCTTCCAAAATTTCCAGTTCTTTCATCCCAACCCATGAGTTGTTAGAAATATCAGATCTGGCTTAGCAAAATTCACCAGCAGAAAGTGGTCTTAAATGTTTGGATGGCGACATGCAACAATCTTCCCTGTGTTTGCCATTGAATACCCTATGCTCATCAATGCATTATTATTAGTATCGGATGTTATTCATCACTTTACTGCAGCTGGGGCCCAATTACATACAGACCACCCGAAATTTACTATTTACAAATCAATCTTCCTTTTTTTCATTTTTTTTTCAAATTCTAACTTAAATATCAAAATTCATGATGAAATCCTAACTCATATTTTTTTCATTTTTATCAAATTCTCAATAGTTTGATTGTGGCATGCATAAACACGTGGCTCGGTAGTTCAAGAAAATCAACTAGGTGCTTAAATTGTAAATATCAATATTTTCGGCGGCCTGTATGTATGTATGTATGTATGTATATATATATATATATATATATTATGGCATTGGCAGGACCACTGATCCGTTTGAATATAAAGGCGCATAATTTTCTTGTGACCACTTCTCTTTAATGCATCTCATTCAATCCCGGACATGCTGGAAATCAGCCAATGCAGATTCATCATAGTAATATATAAAAAAAGCTATTTTTCTCTGTAAATTTTGGATTGTTATGTAAATCTCTTCTTGAGAAGTATGATAGTGGAGGGTGACACAAATGTAAGAAATTGAAGCTTAGATGTTAGATATGTAAATACTTGAGAATTGAATGGTATGTATGTAAATCTTCCATCATATTTTTACTCCCACATCGCTCAATATCTTCATTGTAAGACAACATATGACTGCATTGCAGATTCCAAAAAAATTGTTGATATTCTGAGCGAACAAATAATGTTCTGCATTATTATACATTCTCATTAGATACCTACATAAAGTAAAAAGTGTTCTGTATCAACCTTCACTTGGCTTTGAAATTTAAACCAATTAGCTATTCTATAAAAGTCTTTAGTGTCATAAACATGAAAAATTATTAGGTACAGAGTTCGCATGCATGCACTCTTTGTACAATGCATGCGAACTCCATACGCCTCTATAAACACAATTTATGATGATCATGCCTTGCTGGAGCACCACCCAATTCTTATATACTTACATATCTAACACGGAAGCTACTGTATCACATCAAATATACAATTATTTTAACTCTTAAAAAGTGAAATACATCTTTTCATGATGCATAGGTAAGGTGATATATGTATAAAAATTAAAATTTAGAGTTGAGATATGTAAATACATAAGAATTGAGTCATCAATCTTCTTTTAAACCTCTGTTAGAGCTACAAAGAGGTGCCGGCTAGAAAGAGGTGCCGAAAATGACCAATAACCAACAGCCACAGTAAAAACTTTTGCTCATTAAATGCAATAGTGCACGCACTGCAGGCATAAATTTTGGCCAAAAAGCCAAAATTTGCTGTCCTATAGACCATTAAAATTTCATAACAATAATAGCAACTTCATTACTATTTACCATGCACGGTTACCAAAGACAACATATATGGGTGATTCTACAGACAAACAGATCATAACCAACGCATTTAATTTGATATTGTTTTCTCTTTTCTTCTATTCCCTGCTCTCTCTGAGCATTCCTTTTCCCTCAGTACTGCTCCTAAATTTACATAGTAAAAAGGTTTGGATAAAATTTGTCCATTTTGACTCAGAGAGCTTCTTTTCTGGAGGAGCTCGGAATTGGCCCTTTTCTTTTTTCTGCAATTGATGACAAAAGAGGGAGGGGGAAGAGATCTTTTACTAGAGAACTATAGATGCTGCACTGCAGAGTGCTAGAACAATGGTGGTGGTGAATTTGGAGGAGATGATGAGTTAACCAGGTTTAATATGCTGTTCCAGTAGTTCTTATTTTCATCGTCTTCACCCTCGCCTTCTTCCACATCCACACAGCTTCTAACTTCACCATTGTTTGAGTTTTCACATTCTTCTGTTGAGTTCTGCTGGCCAGCTTTGTCCAGCAGCATTCCGGTAAAGCCAGCTGGGAAGTCTCCGCCAGAGGATTCACTTAGCCAGGAAGATGCTTCTGCGCTTATGAAGGGTGTTACCGTGTCTGTTGAAAATTCTGATTTTTTTGGACATCTCCATGGCGGTTCCTCTCTATGGTTGCTCTCTGCAATCCCCATGTCTGAGAAGCTGAGGGTGGAGGATGGTGACTCGAGGTCAATGGTGTATGCTTTTCCATGGCTGTTACTGGTTGCAGGCTTGGGCCATACACCATGCCAAGCGCTGAGGACGTCAAGGCAGGGAGATGCTGCTGGTGGCATGGTGACAGGAGGAGGTAATGGAGGCTGATGTTTCATGGTGAAGGAAGAGGCGGTGGGGGAAGGAGGAGCAGCTCGACGGAGGTTGGACTCACGTGCGAGGCGAGCTTCAGCCTCAAGGCGAGCGCTTTCCCACTGAGCCATGTGGTTTAGGTTAGCTGCGTTCTTCGAGCGGCCATGGACAGAGGAAATGGTGTCACTCCTCTGCTTGTGTGTAATTGGGTCTATCCCCATTTTTGCCAGGCTCTTCTTCAGGTGCGTGTTCCAGTAGTTCTTTATCTCGTTGTCAGTTCTCTTAGGAAGGTGCGTTGCTATTGCAGACCACCTGAAAAGTTTGAATTAAGAACCTTTTGGCAAAGGGGAGCCCCCCCCCAAAAAAAAGAACTTTTTTTTTTTTTTTTTTGTTCTAGAAAGCCATGTGAATCTATGACTGAAATCATTACAGTAATCTGAAACCGCTGAAAGAAAGGAATTTGATTGTGATAGGGGACTTTTCAGACAAAGATTTGTAGAACAAATATTTCAGATGAATGTATACCGTGGAGAAAGACAGCTGCAATTAGCCCTATAAGGCAAATACTAACGTGCCATTTTTTTGCTGTTTTTCTTTATTGTGGAGAACAAAAATCGCAGTTTTGGGCATACCTGTTGCCGAGGAGAGCATGGAGCTGGATGATGGTCTGTTCTTCCTGCATGGTAAACTTCCCTCTCTTGATATCTGGTCTGAGGTAATTTGTCCACCTTAACCTGCAACTCTTCCCACATCTCTGGAGACCTGTAAAACATCAATAGAAATTAGTTGGAAAAGCGCACGCAGTTTGCTGAAGATTCAAGTAATGTTCTCACCAGCTTTGTTAGGCAATGCCCTCCAGCTTCCATGGCCGTGCTTCTCTATGTACGCGAGGAGCTTCTGGTCCTCCTCTGGAGTCCATGGCCCCTTCTTCAAGCCAACCTTATCGCAACAGGGTGAACGACCCATATCCTAAAGCTTCTGAGCGACTGTTAGAGTAATATTGCCGTGCAAATGAGTGTGGACTTTAGGATTTGAGATAAATTTAAGTTGGGCGAGGGAGTGGAAGCAGGGGAAGGATAAATAGTGGCGGAGTTGACAGGAAAGAGGTCAGTAACATTAATGCCATGTTGATGTTTCAGTACTAAAATTTACAGGGAAGTCCAAAATCATTTATTTTTTTTTTTGGAGGCATTTAGAAATATACCACAAAGATTTTATTTATTTACATATCTAACACCTAATTTTAATATTTATTTGCATAACATTCAAATATTTTATATATATATATATATATATTGATGATGATGATGACCATGACAATAATGAGTTTAAAGATTATAGATGTTATTTTATTTATCAAAAGGATTTATGATCCTTCTGTGTTGAGTAGTCTTTGAAAACTTAGATAAAAACTTTTGATGTTATTGTTAAGATCTTGTAATCAAGCCCCACCAATATTTAATGCACGCTTACGCACTCAGATTCTGTGGGGAAAAAAAAACTTGTATTCCAAAGTTAAGTATAAATATATTTTTTTTGGTTGTCTTGCCCCACCAAAATGTTTATATAGGACCTGCAAATTCTGAACATTTGTGGAGGTTTCCTGCAAATACATGCCTTTGAATATTGAGATCAGATATGTGTTCGATGATGTGGGAGGTTTCCTGCAAATACATGCCTTTGAATATTGAGCTTTCATATGACTTGCCTGATCTTCGTTGCGTCTGAAGGGAAAAAAAAAAAGTATTATGTCATGTAAATCAGATATGTGTTCGATGATGTGATGCAATTCATGTTATTGTCTGTAATATTTATAAATATCATAGAAAAAAATATGCATCTCTTTATAGCAAACATTTTATATGAAATAATTAGGCGTTTTCCACATTCCATACTATTATTAAATTATTAAAAACTGAATTTTCTACACAAATTTGCAAATATGATAAGTAGTTGGCATTAAAAAAAAAAATTCTACCGTGAACTAAAGTAATTAACGGTTATTTTTTTCAAGAAGTTCACAGTGATATATGTTACTTACACGAATATGGACGAGCTTTCGCTACATATTCCAAACCTAAAGTTTAATACTTTTTCCCCTTGCAACCTTATTATCGAAGTCTTGTTCATATATATTTAAAGAGACACATCTACCAATTATTTAGCTGCAATTGTGCTGTGTAACTCGATCTGTTGGTTGGCATCCTCGGTGTAAGACTCTTCAAGTCTAGGGTTCGAATCCTCTCTGACACAATTGGTCTCAAGGAGGTGATACTCAAATGTTTGACACATTAGGAGTGGCTTGTATAATAGCATCTGTCCATTCCTTTTATGTGTGTGTCTATATATATATATATATATATATA